GGCTGGTTAAAATTCAGAATCCGCCGCTGATTCCTATGCTGACAAAACGTGGCAACCTCCAGTTATTAACAAAAATACTGCAGATAATTAAGACGACGACGAAGAAGAAGATGATGGGTTTGAACAGGTTAATGATCATGATTTTATTAAAGATACCTTGAAAACACTACCTACTTTACCACTACATAATCAACCACAAACTCCGACTATTGTAACAACTACTGGTTGGGCTCCAGTACCCTTTAATAGTATTCAATTACCAGATCAGCAATACGGTCCACATAATTTTAAAGTAATCAAATCAGCGTCTAGTTATATTAAAAAATATCTTCCAGACTCGCATTTTGATGAAGCCGCTTTAATAAAGCGGCTTTATTTACGAATATGTATGCAATGTCGAAACTAGGAAAAGAACTTAAAACCTGTGCGAATTAAATAAAAGTTCTTTATGGAGCTCATGCCATGATCGGTATAATAAAGTATCTTCGTATTCACATGTACTGGCAAAGAGGTATCCAATTTGATTTAATTGCACAATCCATAACTAGAGATAAGTTTTTTTTACTACGTTCTTGTTAACATTATGTGGATATCAACAATCGTCCGCCACAAGCAGATCGCTTTTGGAAAATTAAACCAATTATCGACAGCGTACGTAATGCATGTTTAAGTATATCGCGTAATGTAAGTTGTTTTTCGATTGATGAACAAATGATACCATTTTTAGGACGTATTCCATATAGGCAATATGTCAGAAATAAACCTAGACCAGTTGGTCTAAAAAACTTCGTGATCACAACTTCAAAGGGTTTAGTACTTGATTTTGAAATTTACTAAGGAGAAAATACACCATTAGACAGATCTCTTGGATTAGGCCCAGCGGTGGTTTTAAGATTAGCAAAAACTATTCCAGAACACTCTGTATTATTTTTCGACCGATATTTCACCACTGTTCCATTACTAGATCGTTTAAATGCAATTGATATAAAGGCGACAGGTATACAATTATGAATAATCGTTTGAAAAACATACATTTCAATGAAGATAAAAAATTTAAGCAAGGGAAATGGGAAGAACCTACGCGGTCTGATGACAAAATAGTTGCAATAAAATGGAAAGATAGTAAGTGTGTCACTGTTTTGTCAACAGCCACAGGTGCGGAGCCACACACAATGGTAACACGTTAGAGTAAGTCTGAAAAAATATATATAGAAGTTCCTTGTCCATCGGTGATCAAGACTTATAACCAAAATATGGGTGGCGTAGACGTGTGTGACCAACAACTCGAGGCTTACCGCACGTGGATAAAAACAAAAAAATGGACACTAAAAGTTGCCCTACACTTTATCGACTTATCTATTGTTAATGGATGGAGTATAGACAAGATGCTTTAAATATGGGAATTCAAAAAAAAAATATAAAAGACTTGATGGAATTTAAAATGGAAATAGCACGTGATTGGTTAGCAGCTTCTATCAAAAACAAACGTCCCCTTGCGTTTGACTCTTCATCATCTGGTGAAGATAACCTTGAACCAACTGAACTACAACATAAAATTCAAAATTATAGAACTCCTTTTCCACCTGAGCAAAAATCGAAGGACAAATATGAATACTGGCCGATTGTTGATGATTTGAAGACTGTTTAACTACAAAGAACACTTGCTTTAAAGATTTTCACGTATAAAAGAGTACTATATTATTTACTGTAATTTTTTTTTTTTTGTATTCATGTTATTTTTAAAGTTTGATAAAAAAGTGTATTAAAAAGTTCAATATTTTCTTTTATTAAAATTGTTATTTGTTGATGTATTACATAAACAATGGATTTATTATTATAATTTTTATTATACTAATACAGTACGTACCTACACAAATGTGTGGGTTGTTTTTTAGCCAAACCGATGATCATTTTTTTTTAAAAATATTTTTACTATGCATTTCAATACCTAATGAGTCCATTTTGAAGCATATAGACCATTTGAAGAAAAAAAATAGTTCAGGATTTAAAGAGGGTAAAAATTTACCTACACAAAAGTGTAGATTAGTTGACAATGGATTATAAAATAGAAATAATATTCAGTATGTAGTAACACAATTATTCACCTACACAAAAATGTAGGTCAGTGCTGAAAGGGATAACCCTTTCAGCACTGAAAAAAAAAAATTATAATAACAATAATAGCATTGTTTTTAATTTAAAAATTCCTCTAGTGTATCAACATGAACTTAGTTTGTATAAGTTAATACCACTTCCAGCATGTGTAACGGAAGATAAAAAGAAATGCATGTATATTAAACATAAAAATGATTTTTCAGCTGTAACTAAATCAAAAGAGCTCTACTCAACTTATGACAATTTTAATCCCACCATTTGTAAGTCTGTCCACGATGTTTTTTATGCCCCGAAAACATTTTTACATTCTAGGAGTATGAGACCTATGTGTGAAATACTCCTAATGCAGGAGCCGCAAGAGGTACCCGAAAGTTGCGAAATCAGACATGTGGAGATGGCGACAACAATTTTTCATAAGCTCAAACATAAAAATGAGTTATATGTCACCAAGAAAGATTCACTGTTCATAACATGCGACGAAGACAAAGAATCAAAGAACCACATTTTAGAGGGATCTGGTTAATCTCACTAAATGAGACTTGCCGAGGTTACGCAAACCAGGACGTCCTAATTCCAGGGCGACTCTCAGGAAGAACACAATATACTGATTTCGTTCCAACATCAGTAATAAGGGATTTATGGGCGGAAACGTCCCGTAGCAAGTTTACAAAAACAATGCAATTACATCATGTAAAAACAAATCAAATGCATGACTTGAACGAGATAACCTACACTCGCAATCAAATTACGGATTAAAGTCAACAAACGGAACAATTTGCTCAGCTAGAAACACAAGTATATAAATATACTTTGTATTTGGAAGTGTTTCAATAACCATGATTATCGTAATCAATATTTTAATAGTATGGTTTATCAAACATGAAACAACAAAAACACCACTAGCAAGACCATGCACCTGTCCATTCCTGATGGATGACAAATGGACACAAACCACAATACAAAGACCAGCAGTCGAGGTCACAGCACCAACAGAGGAGTGTATAACATCAACTGTGGGTATTGCAAAAGCTGTTCTAGAGGAAGAGTGTATTAACCAATTTCATCTATCCCAAATTAAAATTCAACTCCAATTAAATTTTAAAAAAAAAAGGGGGATATGTATACTATATTTTGTTTTTTTTTAAGGAAGTCGGAGACTTTCATCTTAGAGGGAAAGGATGTAGTAAACTCAAGACCATAAATGTAAAGTTACAAATTTAACATAGAATAATAAATTATACACGCAGTACATCATTTATAAATAAGTAATAAGAAAAGTGTTTAAAAGCCTACTTAACGGGAAATAGAGATCATAGGCGAAAACAACAAGTTGTTTTCCCCCTTGTTGCATAATAATGCGATCCAGCAGTATCGAGAAATAAAAATAGTACAAATTAATATCATACCACAATACGTCATTAGTAGAATCCGTATAAATACGGGTAGAGCACTTACGATTAGGTAGAGAAGATAGTCAGCACTGCTAAAGGGCTTAACGCTTACGACAGTACACTTTTTATTATATTTGTGTTTTAACGTATAACAATAAATTGTTTTATTTTATTTAATAACAAGACGTGTCAATTCATTTACCTATCTTACTCTCAACACTTCATCTCAAGACTGGCTGCGACGTACTACGTCGCTTAAATAATTAATTGTATTTGTGATCAACGTGTCCTGCACGGCGATCACTACAGTCGGCTGGTTTCATTTTGTTTCTTTTCGTCGAGTCGACGGGACGAAATGCTCCGTTTTACGTCGTACGTACAAATTCATGGTCGTGCTAGGGGACGCGTCACACGTTGTGACCATTCTGTGGTACTACATACGCAGCATTGGCAAAAACTGGTTGGACGACCGATTATTCTCTTTTGAGACTGAGTATATGATATTAAAGTTATCTCGTATGGTAAATAAGTGTTTTAGTTTTTATATAAACTTACATGTCACCACAGAAATCATTTACTTAATAGTTTTGGCTGTTGATATTGGAAGATTGAAGGAAGATTCTGTAAAAGCATATTCTATAGTAATAACTTAAATAGCATTGTAATAGTTAAAACAAATCAATATTTTCAGGCTGGAAAAGACAGTGGTTGTACAGCTGCAGTTGTAGCTTTATTAGTGAAAATAAGCTATATGTGGCTAATGCTGGAGACTCCAGATGGTGGTATCTATTGCTGGCAAATCTCATGCCATCACAATTGGATTAAATACTTATCTTTTCTCACCTTGTTGACAACTGTTTTGTTTGTGAGCCATTCTATTATTAAGTTTTCTTTATGCAAATAATTATGTGCATTATAAGGAATTGGTTTTATCTGTTTCTTGCGTATTGGAAGACTTATAGTTGTTTGTGTTGCACCCTTTGGTCTACCACTACACTTGATTTTTGTTGGTAATTTAATATCAGCAACTTTAAATTTGTTGGTGGTAGGATTTTTGTCAGGTCCAGAACTTGTTGATGGCTGGTTAACATTTTCTAAATTGTAAGCACAAATTTAAATAATTTACTTATTAATTAGTAATAATTTAATAATTCACTTCTATTTTGTTCCGGTATATACCTGACTCGTCATTGTTGTAAGAACATATTATCACATTTTCAATAATATTGTTTTCTTCAGGTCCAGAACTTGTTGATGGCTGGTTAACCTGACTCGAACTTGACTCATCATTCTGGACAGAAAATATTACATCTCTAATAATATTGTTTTTCTCAGGTCCAGAACTTGTTGATGGCCGGTTAGCCTGACTCGAACTTGACTCATCATTCTGGACAGAAAATATTACATCTCCAATAATATTATTTTTCTCAGGTCCAGAACTTGTGGATGGCTGGTTAACGTTTTCTAAATTGTAAACACAAATTTAAATAATATGGGTAATAATGTAGGTAATTTTAAAATGTTATTTCACTTTCATCATCATCATTGTCACATGTAGAACTTATCTCCTTAATTAAAAATTCTTCTTTTTTGCTCCATATACTTATTATTTGTTCTAACTGATTCATTCTTCTTTCATAATTAAATTGAGATGATATTGAAAGAAGTTCAGCCAATTTAGATGCTTTAACAGATGCCTTTCGAAACTTTTCGTTGGCTGATAATAGTCTTGTGTTTTTTTTTTCCTGAATTTTAATAGGAACCTCTCTTACTGCCTCACATAACTTCAGCGGTTCTTTAAAAATTACCTGGGATTTATAGTAATAGTTCCTTGTCCATCTTTTATCACATATATCTTCATTATTTAAAGAATGATTTGTTGCTCTTCTTTTATTAAAAATGTGCTTGCATGGCAACTTCATTGAATTATAAAAAGCACAAGAGCAAGAAGTTAGTGATGTACCTTCTAAAATTTTAGTTTTGTTTGTACAGGATAGACCCTTTTTTAAATAGTTAAATGCATATGGGGTTAAAAGCATGCTATATTTATATTCATCACTATTTTCAATTTTTTTTGTTGGGAGTTTTTGTACTAAATTGATGGTCTTACTGTCCCTTTCTGACCGAACACACTTAATAACCACAAATAGCTGCTTAAAAAATTCGGAGAGATTTGAAAAAAATGGTATAACCGATTTTAATTTTGAGTTAAAACTCTCAAGTCTATTATTTGTGGTATTTAAAAAGTTACCACTTTGAAAAGTTAAACCAGTGACCCATTCTTCGCGGATATCATGCCAATTCTTCTCAAAGTACATTTTGACTTGATGGGGAGCTTGACTTAAAAAAATGGTATGTATCTCTTTGTATTCTTTTTCATTTTTACAGTAGCATAACTGTTCAATAAACTTTTTGCTACTATCTCGTTCATCTGGCGTTATACCTAATTTTTCGCATGTGATTTCTCTGTTAAATGTGCGCAGAGTGTGGAAAAGGCAAATCACAAGACGAGAGGTTGGAAACAATGATTTGATAACAGAACGCTCTTTTAAATCTTTATCTGTAATAAATACTCTTGTATTTGAACAGGCTGGATTACATTCTTTGAACTTATTAAAGAACCATTGTAACGTTTCTCTCTGTTCATTTACTAGCAATCCAAGAGCAGCTATCTCACTCTGGCCATTACCATCCTCAATTAATAGCACATACAATGGGATTCTCATATCCACCAGCTTGTATGTAGCATCAGCACAAACCATCTATATAACAATATTTAATATAATTTCAACAGCTTAATATAAATTAATATTTTAATTTTATAATCACTTCAGGAAATGCTTTAAATTCTTCCTTCATCCTTAAATCTTGAAGAAACATGCCTAAAAAGTTCCCATCACTGTCTGTCAACAGTTCAACATGACAACCATACATCTTTTTGACATCTTCCACCGTTTCTTCAAAACTTTTCACACATTTTCGTTTCTCTAGAAAATGGAACATTCCACATTTAAGTAAGTTAAACCTCATGTTATTTATTTAAACTAAGTATATTATTACCTGTACTGCATATATTTGATAAATCTCTAAGAGTTACTACTTTGCCAGTTTCAGCTTGTACTTTGGCTTGAATAAGCTTTTTATTTGCCTTCATTTCCATCAGTTCAAGTACATCAGCTTTCATTTGTGGTTCCAAGCGGCGTTGATTTGGCAAATTGGAGAACAATAGTTCTGAGGTCTCGTGGTTATGTGACTCATTCATTTGAGAAATCTCTAACTTAGTGCCATCAGTTGTAACTCTTACATAGATGAAAGCAGGACAATTTTGCTTCATTGTACTACATTATATAGAATAATATAGTAAATATCTGAATGATGATGAAAGCAATAAAAAAAGTAAAATAATTGTATAATACTTACGAAGTGGCTCGTAGATCTTCACTTTTTTTGCTTTTCTTAAAAATACCACCATGAATACACTTAAGCTTTAAAAAATAATATTTTAAGCATTCAGGAGTAAATTTTAATTTCTTGGGGTATTTTACTCGACCTGCATTTAATGTACGACAATCACTTGTTGAAAAATCATAATAATTTGATTTTTTATAGTGCTCTAACTTGACTAAAAAGTCAGCATATGAGTCAAACGTTTCACCAATTTTCAACATTTTTATTGTAAATAAATATAGAATAAAATTTTAAAGGAAATCACAGGTCACTTTGTTTACTATAGTTAATAGAAAACTGTAATAAAGTAACATATAAATTACAACCTTTTGGTTTACTACATACAGGTGTCTCTGGTGTTATCTTAAATATAAATGATATATCCGGTTTTGGGGACTGTACTATGGTCATTACTCTATAAAAATTATCTTAATAGCATCAATGTGAGGATGTACCAAAATATCGGGTTTTATTTCAAGGTCAGCTTAAATACAAATTATTCAAATACAAATCGCCGCGCATTTGATAACAAAATGGTCGGGTGACTACTATCAGCCCAACCATGGTCGTGTGCCTACTAACAGCCCGACCATGGTCGGGTGCCTACTATCAGCCCGACCATGGTCGGGTGCCTACTATCAGCCCGACCATGGTCGGGTGACCATTAAAATCCCGACTATGGTCGGGTGTATATACATGATTTGATTCTACGCATACCAATAATTAATTTGATTAAATTTAACAGAAGTAAAATATTACATCTGTTTGCTAAATTAAATATCTAATAACCGACATGAGCAACGTACGGTTCAACCGAGCGGCTGTTTCATTAAAAACCTCACTCATCATATAAATATATATATACATTTTGAATACAATTTATTCAAAGTCATTTTGAACTACCGCAGTAATGTCACGATTAATATCGCATATATAAATCATAAACGAATCGATTGGTACATTAAAACCTAAAAGTATTCGATCATAATTCATAAGCCGTTTAAAACGACATTTACATTAATATATATCTAGAAAAACGCGCGACGGCGGCAATTTTTGCGATCAAAGTGTCGGGTCCCGCGGACGGTGAACGGAGGGAAACCCGATTCTACCGACCGGGAAAACTCGTGAGAAACGCGACGGGAGCGCGAACGGCGCACGGTGGTCGGAAACGTAATCTAGCTTGCCTAAATGACAATTTAAGATACCACTTATGACATAAAATTATTATCAACTATATATTTATTAGAGATAAAATGATGATTATTATAAATATAGGTATTTCTAACCTTGTTGAATTCCCAGATAAGCGTATACATAATATAAAATTGAAGGTATAAAGTATCATTGCGTTCACTTTATAGTATCACGTGGTACTGAGTGCACACGTTTTAGAGTTGATTTTTTTTTGTTTTGATACACATAATGGACACTATGGAACAAGGTAAGTACATTTTTAGATGTTTTAAAATTTTATTTATACTACTTTTTTATTTTTCAACATTGAAAATTTTCGATTTTTCAATATTTATTTTATTTAAAAGGGTAGTTTTAAAAATTTATCCATTTTTACAGTTTGAAAATACATAAAAATTATAGCTAAACTAATGGGCTATACAGATAAAAAAAAAAAATTTGCGTCTATTTGCGTCTGTGCTTAAAATTTATTTTTTTCTAGGGACTAGTATTGGAGAATGTAGTACAACAAATTTGACATTTCGCGATCTTTTTGAATTGTTGGGGAAAAAAGGACCATTAAATCCAACTAATATTGAATCCAGGCTTTTTTTGTATGAGTCGATTAATAAGCAATGGAACGTAAATGGACATAGTATTGATAACGAAAAGGATATAAAAAATAAATTGTTAAATTTTACAATAATTTTAAATAAAAAGTGGAATAAATATTACAGAAATTACAATAAGTTTGTTCAAAACGAAGACCTATGGCTTAAAACTGTTTTTAATTCTTCGTCTAAAATAGCAACTGATAATGTTGGTCGTCCAACTATAATATTCAGCGAATGTTCAGAAAGAACAAAGAAAAAAAAAATACAGCCTTTAATAAAATCTTATACTTCTCCTGAATTAACTTACGCGATATCAACAAAATTACAAAAATCTGGTAAAAGAAGTACAGCACTATTATTAAAAGAAGCCAACGAGAGTCCTACACGAGCTAATAAAATTTTAAAAGTATTTAAGAACTCAGATTCGATTAAACCGGTTCCGTATACTGTCGACGAAGCATTAGCGTTTATAGTAGATAACAATTTGACTAAAGAACAATATATCAATATTAGGTTTGGTTCAAAACTACGTAACTGTTATATATACCCATCATACGACAATATATTATTAGCAAAAGAAAAGTGCTATCCCGATAATTTACATATTACTGAATCCACTTGTAAAATACCTGTTCAACATTTATTAGACCACACTATAAATAGAATATTTAAAACTAATTCAATAGCAACAATTGAATCAAGTATGAGCAATTTTGAAAATGGGGATGTGATGGAAGTAGTGGTCAAGCTCAATATAAAATGAAGTTCCAGTCCGATCCATCAATCAAAATATCAGACAACGATATATTCATGTTTTCTTTGGTACCAATTCAGTTACGTTGTTTAATTGATGAAAAGGTATTTGTGATTTGGCAAAATCCCCGGCCTTCATCAATTAAGTTTTGTCGACCAATTAAATTTATGTTCATGAAAGAGACGATAGAAAATACAAAAAAAGAAGTTGAAGACATTGAAACTCAAATAGGTAGTTTATCGAAAACAATTGTTACATTTCAAGATAATATTTTAAGTGTCAGACATAAATTAATATTTTCAATGGTAGATGGTAAGGTAAATAAAAACAATAATTCAATAAAAATAATTTTAATGGCCACCTCCAATTTTGGCCATTAACTAATTTTATTATTTTTAATAAAATTAACAAAAATAATTCGTTAACAGGTGTGTAATTCGATGACTAATACATATAGTCAATCGTGTTATATTTGTGGATGCACTCCAAAAAATTATAATAATATTGAAAAAGTAAGAAACATATCAACCACGGTTATCTACTCAGGTTGGAGCACGCCGCTATGATGCTAATACAGACTGATGGTCTATGCGGCGACCGTGGTGAACTATTAGCGCTAGTAGTCAGTGGGCCTACGTTCACATTTGTATGTACTGGGAAATCGAAGATTTTTTATTCAAATCGTTAATATCGTCCAAACGACTAAAAATACGAATTAAAAACATTCCACAATTATTGTAGACCGTGAAAAGGTGATAAGAACGCAACCGACACCTAACCTGGAGATAACATGATAACTGTACGAAAAAGACGAACAAAATAATTTTCTAATTTCGACAATATTGTTCTGTAATCTGTATGACTGTATGTGTTTTTGTCATTACTTAATTGGTAGTAGGTAGTTTTATTGCGATGGTGGCTAAGTGTTGTGTAGTTGGATGTACTTCAGGCTACAAAAGCAACACAGAAAAAGTGTCACAGTTTTCCGCACCAAAAGATACTGGTTTACGGCTAAGATGGCAAAAAGCTTTTTTCAGGCTACAAGAATCATTACTGGGATGAAAAAACAAAAATAAAATTATTATAAACTGTAAATTAGTTAGGTATAAAATTAGTTATTAAGTATTAACCAACTACTAAATAGGTTTTATTACATAAAGAATAAGTAATGAACAAAGTGATAATAACATATTATGTTTATTTGATATTTTATTTTACAGATATTTTATAAATTAAATAAATTATAACTGGGTAAGAAAGACTTGTAGTCATTAATTCTGACGTCAGTCATTTAGAGAGTTTTTCGAAGTATACTCGTAAGTCAAGTGTTGGGGGAATTATTTTTTTATGTAATTAAATTACATTGTACACTAATATTAAGTACTCAGCTTTCAAATAAAGTAATTAAAAAAATTATAATTTATAATCACGATTAGAATTTATTATTTCATTACGAGTTAACTCGTCCAGTCGGTAACCAGTTAGGCCTCATGACTACTAGCGCTTTAGTTCACTGCGTTCGCCGCATCGACCAGCGATAACACGCCGTGCGCCAACCTGTGTAGATAACCGTGATATCAACTAATTCCGAAAATTTCAAATTTGGTCTATCTACATTGCACGCGTGGATTCGATTTTTAGAATGTATATTGCACGTGTCTTATCGACTAGAATTTAAAACCTGGCAGGTATATCAAAATGAACTACTTAATTTTAAAATGAAATAAATTCAAAAAATGTATATTTCTTATAAAATAAATACAAATTATAAAAAACCACAATATTTTTTTATAATAAGTATATCGTATAAAATATAGTATATATACCTACTGTTTTTTATTTTGCAAAAACATAATATACTTTTAATTAAATATAATATTTAAAGGTTAGATCAGACGACAATAGGTTACTTTTTGCTACGAAGAAAAAAAATGTTCAAGACAGGTTTAGATCAGAAATGGGGTTATTGGTTGATATCGTATTACAAGGTATGTTATGAATAGGGAACGGATTTTATTGTAGTAAAAAAATCAAAATATGTACATAAATATGTACTTATTTTTATTGAAATATGTAAAAAAAAAATCAAAATATGTAATAACCGCTTAACAGAAAAAATGAGTTCCAAAAGTAAGTATAAAAATCTTATCTCTTATCTAATTAATAATTATTAAAACAATGCGAAACTACATATTCTGTAAAATTTAAAAACGTAAAATGGTGGCGATTTGGTCGTAAAATGTTTTTGTACTGACTGAATGAACGCTCCACATCGACTGACGTAATGATAGCATACCAATTTTTCACAACATTTACAGTAAAAAACTTTCCCATCACTTTGAAATGT